TGCTCATAGCTGTTGTCCAGTTGTGCAAGTTCTGGTGACTTCAACCCCTCAGTGTCAATGATCAGCATGAAGTCACAGTTTAGGACTTTTTTCATGTCTTCATCGATTTTGATGAGCGACATAAAGGCACCTCGAGTACATCGACCACTGCTGACTGCAAACTGCACTCCAAACATGGTGTTAAGGAGAGTGGACTTTCCTGTGCCCTGAACTCCAAGAACTGTGACTACCAGGATCTTTCTGTTTGGAGACACCAAGTCACTGAGCTGAGAGAGAACATCAGTCACCCATCTGAGAGGGATGTTGGATGCATCTCCATCTACAAGCTCAAGAGGAAATCCATCAAGCAACAACTCTGCACACAGTTTGGGCAGATGCTGCAGCTGTTGACGTGATGGATCTGTTTGTGGAAGGGACAGTGAGGCTTCATAGATCTGACCCATTTCACGGAAGAAGTGTTCAGTCCCCAGTGAGCTGTTGGAAATTTGTCTGTCAATTTCCTTGATCTCTTCTTTGTTCTCAGAGTTCTTGCATTTTTCTTTATATTTCTCCTGAAGTTCAGACAGTTTTGTACGAGACAGGTTATCCAGGTTCATTTGCATCCATTTCAAGAAATAAAACCTCTCTGTTCCTTGGCTTGATATTGCATTGATGAAGCATGTCATAGCTGTTGACATGTTATAAGAGTTCTGCTTTTTCCGCAGTTCTTTTTTCTGTAACAGAAGTTCGCTTCTGTAATCTTCAATATTTCTAGACCCGATATGTTGAAGTCGAAATTCTTCCTTCTCTAAGCAGGTCAGTTCTTTCCATATTTCACCTTGCCGTGGAAGCTGATCTTCTTTGAATCTATGGATGTCTTGAATTTCAGCAGTGATGACATCTGCATTTGTCTTTGCATTCTGACACTCTGGAGAGTCTTCATCAACCAGGATTCCCAGTTTATAGGCAATGTCTGCCATCTGCTCTATTGTCATCTTAATCTTTGAGTTCTTCACCACATCTCTGACTTTTTTTCTCAAAGTTTGTACAAAATCTGCATCATTTTTCTGTTTCTTCTTAGTTATGATGTTGTTGTTACTCAAGCCCAATTTGTTTGCTACTGTTCTTAAAACCTCGTTATTACTTTCACCATTACCAACCAAGAAGATCTGTGTCTTTTGGTTTATGTTAGTGAGTAGACTGTGCTCAGACTCATCCAAATCGCCGAAGAACACGAAAACTGCTGCAGATGTCTGGCACAGAAAGGAGTATTGTGTTTCAAAAGATTCAATGTCCCCATGAAGGTTGGCTACAGCCACTGGCTGGCTGAAAATATCAATGTTTGTGTTTCCACAAGGAAGATACCAAGTAATTTCAGTCAGTCCGTTGGATATTGCTCTTGGACTGTCACCACACTCCATGTTGCGGTGAACAAAGGTGTCATGGTACTGCTGAGAATTGCTCAAAAGCTTATTGAGAATCTCTGACTTGGACAAGGAGCACTCACCCAGTCTGACAAAAGAGATCATTGGAAGTTCAGACAGAACAATTCTGTCTTCAATGAAGCCCTTGGATTCTGACAGAGACTGAGGTCTGTACTTTTTAACAATGTCTCTCATGGCCCACAGCATGAGTGTGCACTGATTGGTGTCACAATTGGGAAGCAGCAGAGGAACAGAGAACTGACACATAGACATTTTGAGTGCCATTTCCTGCTGTACAAAACCATCAGAACACAGAAAAAGAGCAGTGATTATGTCGAGTGGGTTTGGCATGTCTGTGATCAATGATTGATCATTAAGTTTTATCCTATTTCTAGCTGTGACATTAACCATCATCAGTTCCTTTAGAAAATACCATGGGAGGTCTGATTTATACTTGGCAGGTTCATCTTTAATCATCTGCTCATCAATCTCAAGTAATTTGCTACGTGATTGTTTCTCCCTGTAGTACCGCTCCAAGTTCAAGTCCTCCAATACACTCACCAGGTGCCTCCCTGTTGATATAAAAAATTTTGTTATTTCTGTAACCATCTTAATGACTATGTTTCTTACACATACAAATCTAATAACATCGTTCGCATAAAACGACCACTTCCTGTGGTAGTCTTATAGCTTTCATATATTTACATAGGTATACTGCAAGGTATACCATATCATTGTTTAAGTGTGTACTACACATTTGGAGGTTTTTTTTAATCGTGTATATAAATATACATATATGTTTTCCTAGAAATTAAAATCATCGAATTAGTCTTTCATACTTAGTTTAAACAATGTTTAGTTACTTTGTTGTTTATGCAAAGTATTCATCACTGTGATTTGTTTTGTATTATAAAAGCTTTAAAAAAACAAATAAAAGCTATTAAAGTGTTTCTTTAAGTTTAGTTTCTTAATTTTAGTGATGTTTTGATATGTTCATTTTAGGGGTATCGTCTTGTTTAAATATTGCTAATCTACAGTGTCTTTCTTTTCTAGACATACTATGCCGCTGATCTACAAATACTAAAGTTATATTCCAGTATGTTGTTCAGATAGTAAACTTGCCTGGAAAGAGATCCTGTTTCAAAATTGGCTAACTCTATTTTTAAGATTCTTCAAAAGCGCTATCCACTGTACAGATTAAACTAAACAACTAGCCGAGGAGAATGGATAGATGGATGGATAGGTAATAGTAATTTTATCATTATCTGTACCATGAATGTAAATTTCTAAAATTTTGATTTGACAAATTATACGAAACAGCTTTAAATATAACTAAATTCACACTGATAACTGTTATATTTGGGATAACCTTACAGTGGAACTTTAAAATATTACTTCCAACCTACAAGTTTGTTTTTCAACTATTTTGACTGTGCAGTATTATCACACAACTTTTCAAATAATAAAAAAGTATAATGAAATTACTTTATAAAGACATTTCCATGTTTACACTGAGACTTAGCAAGTCCATGCACCCGTTCCCTGTGTAACATATTTTTGTTTGTTTTTTGTATTTTAAATAGCTATGACTTAAATTTACTTACTTGTATGTGTATGTCTGCTGCAGCTGGTCACAATGTAGGTCTTAGCTTCACCAGCAGGAGTCTCCAAATGCTGAGACACTAACTCACTGTCGATATTAAACAGTGTTTTTTTCACATGACAACAAGGAGCTGTGGGAAAAATAATAGTAATAGCAATTGATAGTGTTTTTACTTAAACGACTTATAGAGATTTCATCATGCAGCTTTTTGCTGAAACATGAAATTGCATAAAAATGTATTTTACCTCCTGCATCAGTCTGTTGGCGGGGATATATGCAGATACTGCATGGATTTGGAGGGGTCTCTACTTCCTCGCAGTAAAGCTCAACAAACAAGTCTTCGGCACTGATTTTCTTTTGATAAATGATTAATTCTATATTAAAAAACAAATACATAATAATCTCCTAATTTTTTATTCAAGTACAAAGTAGCTGCTTACCTGCATTGTGGGTGCAGTCCCTAACATCCCACTGTTGCTTTAGGTTAATCCAGCAGTGTCTCTCTGATTACTATAATGAAAGTAAAGTGATTATTCTTCAAAGATTATTTTCTAAATGGAAGTTTAGCTGTCAAAATGAAACTCAAATGTCAAACTAGACAACCAACTCCCCGACTCTCTGTGGAGTTGGTTTTCTAGTTTGCAGGGGTGAAAAAATGAGTGGTGGTCTAATTTGGATATGTAAAACATATATAAATATTTATATTTCAAAAACAAGGCAAGAAGAGCAAATTGGAAAACTGGATCTGAAAACACTGATCATGATTTTCCAGAATAGATGGAAGGACATATTTAGGAATGGAGAGATTCAAGGATTCAGGAAAAACAAAAGGCTGCTTTCATGATGAGCCATATTAACCCTATAATGCCCTTTGTATCATATTTGATACATGAGTTTCTGAGACCTCTAGCTCATTAACATGATCAATACTTGCTATAATTTCAAATTGTTATGGACATAACTCTTTTTTTTGTCTAAAATTAACATTGTTGTTAACAAAAAGTTGCCAAAGACATCCAATGTATCAAATGCGATATATATATATATAAGGTTATAAGGGTTAATAAACATCTCAGTTTCATAAAATCTGAATTTTCTGGCTATGTTTTGATGGGTTGGGTCTTACAGGGTTAATACCTAAAGTGTAGCTGTTAATTGATACATTGGTACATACTGCAGTGGAGTGTACGACTGTACTAACCTGATTAAAAGCTGTATCAATATCTATTAATAAACAAAATTAAATATATACATAGTATGTGTATGCATATGGTGGGGCTTGTGGACCAAAAATGCCGGAGCCAATGTTTTGTCCCAGTCCAGCCCTGGTGAAAACCCAGCCCATTTCAATCATATGTATTATATTACTGGATCATAATAAACAAGATAGATTGAGTTGAACTGTAATTAATTAACAGTATGTAAATGAAAGTAATTTCATTAATAATTAATAATTAAAAAGTATTTGTTTTACAATAATTTACACAAATTACTGCACTGCAGCACTAATTTACATACTGTAAAAATAATTATTATGACTTTGGAAAGAGAATACTAAAGCTCATAAGATGTAAGTTTAACTAATGGCTAATTATAGGAACATTGCACCTGTAGCACATTGAGCAACATATATAAAGTTGGAATGGGCTGAAAGCATTAACAAACAATCCACTTCTTAGCATTTTTGCATTTATAGCATTTATACTTGTGCAACAGTATTTGCTGGCACATCATCAAGAGGTGCATTTCAGATTATGTGTAGGTAACGCAGAAGCATAAATTCCCTAGGTTCTCTCCCAGTGGTCACTGTGCCAAAGGTGGCTTCACAATGGCCTGGAAAAGCAGTTTTGATGGTTCACTAGCTAGTTTTTTTTTTTGTTTGTTTGTTTGTTTGTTTGTTTTTGTCTTCCTAATCGTACACATAATGAAAGCATCACTGATGAAAAAAAGACTATAAAACAACCTACCTTTATAGCAGATATCTGATCACGGCAAAAATGCTTTTCTCTGATCCACTGTTTGTTTGTTCTTTTTCTTTCTTCTTTCCTGTTTTCTACAATATTCACAGTAAAATTGCTGTTCTGTTTCTATCCCTGTAGCAGTCTACTGCTACTGTCCCTATAGCAGTGTACTGATGATGATTCTGAGCTCTCCTTTTATATTGTTCGGCGAATACTTTCACTTTCACTCAGGTGAGGCAGCAATTTTTTCACAATCAACCAGTCAAGCTTCAGTTAATGATTGAGGCGTTTTAAGAAAAAGAAATGGTATGAAAAAAAAAGCTTGTATTGGAATGAGATCAGCAAATCTTTTCCTCATATTTGACTCATGGTTTTGTATATGCAATTTTATTTTCATTGAAACTGTAGTTAGTTTTAAAAGTGCTTCAAAATGATTGCCCAAATAGACCACATTTGACAAAAGTACTCAGTCACCCATCGAAATCATTGAGTTCAGCTGTTTCAATCACTTTCATAGCCACAGATATATAACAACCAGCAGCCAGGCATGCAGGCTGTAAACATTTGTAAAACAATGGGTCACTCTCAGGAGCTCACTGAATTCTAGCGTGGTACCATGGTAGGATGCCACAAGTCCATTTGTGAAATTTACTTGGTACTAAATATTCCACAGTTATCTGTGGTATATTACCTCCAATCCCTAACCCAAACTGGAAACAAATGGGAATGACAGCAATATAGACATGAAGTGGTAGGCCATATAAAGTAGCAGAGAGATTAGATTAGTTTTGTATTAGATTAAATGCTGTGATTAAAAGTTAAAACCAGATGTACATAACTGATCGCAGGAATAACCTCAGGAGAACAAAGCATCACTAAATGTTTAAGTCAGCTGGTTTTCACCAACTTCACAGTCAGAGGTTCTGATATGTTAGTCTCTCACATGAAATAATTAGTTCAGACACTGACAAAAATAAAAACATAACATGCTTAGCAGGGTAGGACTCACAGATGTGAAAGAGCTGATAAAGTTGGTCTGCATTCCAGCAAACAATTAGCTGGGGCTTGTGAGTTTGTGGCAGAGACTAACTTTGTCATCCAGGAAATGCGGATAATAAGGAAACAGTTAAAACAACACTGAAAAAAAAATTGTTTTCCCTTTTCTTATTTTTCAGTTTATACATCCTTGATTCCTTTGACTTCATTTCCTTGAGGGAGACAAACTCACTTGACCAGTTTGTCTACCTCTAATAAAAAGACAACCAGTATTAGTAAGCACACAAATTTTTATTGCGAACTAAAGGACACCATTTTTGGAAGTGCAGTGATTAGCACTACCACCTCAATTCAAAACCATGAACTGGCTGGGGGGATTCTGTCACAACTGTGAGGAAGGTATGGATGGATGGATGAAGGAGAGGTAAAGAATAGTTATCCATTCATAGTTTCTGTCTCACTCAAAGGGTAGCCTAACTAATTATAATTCAGCCTTTTATATTTCAAGCCCATGGAGCTAATTATTCCAGTTGTGGATGAAAAATATGCCCCGGCACTTTTTCTAATAAGTCTCTGTGCCAAGGCAGTGGTGCACGGTGGGCTATAGAGCAGATGTGCTAGCTAGCTCCACCATCCACCAAAATCAGAGGCAGTTCCTTCACCCTGCTCAGAACCAAGATTTCCTCTGGAGAGCCCTGTTCAATTCATAAGGACAGCCTGAGAACATGTTGATCAGGAATATGTGTCATGGGTAAACTCAGATAATCAGGTTGTGATCCAGCCTGTGTAATGTCACAGAGTGACCACTTCCCAAACTGTTTATATGTGCCACTTCTTAATTATTGTTCATCCTGACCAAGACATGGCAGTTTTACATTTTAAGAAATCTAAATGTATATAACAACAGCAACAACATGAAAAAGCAGATTGTATTTTATTGTAGGTGTTAAATGCAAACTCTGGTAATGGTGACCAATAATAGCAGACATTTGCTTATATTTTCTTATGAGACATAGTGGTTAATGTGTGCTATTTATTAGTCTAAATTTCCTTATCATGTTTTATTCATTGTTTGTATCGCTGCAGATAAATAGTTATCACTGATTATGAAAGAAGACTATAAAAAAAAACCTTAGCTGTCAACTGATTAACATGGAGGGAGTGGAATCTGGTGGCAGATTCGGAAGCTGGGTAGTGAATGTGGGTTGAGAACATCTGGCAGAGGCCCTGGTCAGGGATCTTCAACTCAAACCTCCGTCACATCTTGAACTGCATTATGAGGTAGACTGGGGACACTGAGGCGGTTGGTCTCTGTAATGACAACAATCGCCACACCAAATGGTGAAAGGAGCCAAAGTAGGACAGGTAAGCTTGGTTGGCTTGTAGGCTTCTGGAAGCAACTAACACATATCAACAGGTCATAGAAATTTAGCTCTGAAGCAAAAACTTAAGGGAGGAGTTTGATGAGAACATAGCACGAGTTTTGGTTGGCCTCAAAGTGTTTCTGACAAACTCACAAACAAACCCCCACAAAATGAAAGAAGACCACTTATAGAGATGGGTTTTCTCTCTCTCTCTCTACATGACTTGAGGACAAGAGGTTCCCAATGTGAAGTAGGGAGGAGTTGTCTGGCCTTCTCTTGCTAGACAAGCCCAGTGCAGAAGATGAAAGGGAGACACCGTACTGAAGACCAATAGGTTTAAATCACTGCTTTCGTCCAACTTTTTCACCAATAAAAGGTCTGTTCAATAGGGACTGTCATTCTTTCCCTTTTGTCTGCTGCCAATATCAGGCACCAGTTATCATGTCTACAGTGGCCCCTGCACATTCCTTTATACTGATATATCGGCAGGATTCTAAGTAATTATTCAATCCTTAAGAAACTAAAGATTCTACTAATCCCAAATAAAAGTCAAACCCAACACTACTATTATGAGGGTCCCCCCAAAAATGTCCTTCTTACCCTGGCTATGCCTTAAGGTCTTGTCCATGAAAATCAAAAGCAGGATCAGAGACAAGAGGCAACCCTGGTGGATTTCAGCACTCATTGAAATGGGCTTGACTTTGTGCCAAGCAGGGATGTACTCTGTCTTTTCCACTATGATCGAACAGGCTCCTGCCCTACATGACTGTAAATTTAATAAGTGGGTAAAATATGATGGGTGTGACAACTGGGTGTGTGATACTCAAGATTCTTTATTTGTCACATGCATAGTCATACAAGTACAACACACAGTGAAATCCGTCCTGAACTGCTCCTTGACTGTGCAAAACATTATAAACAATAAGTAAATTTAAATTAAAAAATAAAAACAGAAACTTTAAATTAAAAAAACAAAAATGTACATTGTGCAATGTTTGTGCCATATTAGCACAGCGATGTATTAAGAGAGCAATGAAAGTAGATTAAACAAAATGACCAAAGTAATGTAAACAGAGTAATTGAACAGAGACACCAGAGTAATATTGTGTAATGTAAAGAGTGATCAGAGTAAACATTAACGTATTCGAAACCATCAATGTAGGTGTTTGGGAAATGCAGTCACCAGCAGGATGAACCTCGGTGAGATGTCCTATAGTAGGTTGAGGTCAACTTTACCCCCAACCTATCAACGTCTTTGTACATGTGTTTCTAGTCTTCAAATAGTTGTTTTTTAAGGATAAATAGAAAAGCTGGCCTACAGGGAAGCCCCAGCCAACAGGTAGCTGGGGCTTTTGAGTTTGAGCAAAGATGGACTAACTTTCCCATCCAGGAAATGCAGACAGAAAGGTAACAATTTATAAAATGCAGATTAACATTCTTGCTCCTCTTCTTATTTTTCAGTTTGCACATCCTCCATCCTTTTCCTTCTTTCCTAGAGGTAGAAAAACTCACTTTACCAGTTTGTCTGCCTGTAGTTCACAACAATGACTCATCTGTTTACTAACATTGCTTGTCTTTTTTTAATTAAAGGATATCATTTTTGGCAGCATAGTGGTGTGGCACCATCATATCACAGGTTCGGAATTTTAATCCAGTAGCTTTCCGGGTTGATTTGGTTTTGCATGGATCCCCTCCTCATATGCCAGCTTTTCCCCACAGTCCAAGGACATGCAATTTAGATTAACTGGTGATTCTAAATGGGCTGCATGTGGGTATAAATCACCATCTGTCTCTCTGCATTGGCCACGTGATCGACTCTTGTGACTATGAATTGGATAACAGGAAGAAAATGAATGAATTGAACATTTTAGGCTTGGACCAAACACAGAATAACTTTGGCATCGAGGAACTGCAGATAACAAGGCAAAAGTTAAACAATGCAGAAATAAATTCCCCTCTTCTTATTTTTCAGTTTGTACATCCTTAATTCCTTCATGCTCATTTCCTTACTTCTCTTTGTGTCCCTCCCACCAGAGAAATGAACAGATGAGAAATGAAAAACCTGAATATCAGGCATTTAAACATGTATGTATTTTGTATAGTATTTTTTTCTCTCTTATTTTCATTTCTAAATGTACCTGTATATTGTTCACATGTTGAAATAAAAAATTACCAACCAACCAACCAAGATGTTTTTGCTTTAGAGCCATCATTATTATCATCATCATCATCATTATCAAAGCAATGCCAGCTGAATATGATGTTTGGCCCAGCTGTACATGGTTTTGTTACAGCAGAATAATCCTAAAATATTTTATTCAAATATCAGATGTGACTTAAAGATTAGACCTCTCTTCTAAGTCCTTGTTAGTAAACGCTTTATTAATTGATCAACATGCTGCATTACTTTGCTTTCGCCATATCTGGTTGAAGAAACAAATCAACAAACCTGAATCATAATGAATGAAGCACAGGAGGAGGCGTGGCAGGAAACTTTCACTCTGGCTTTGTGCACCCTAACTGGAAGAACTGCTTGAATCTTTTGTAAGTAAGTCCCTTACTCAGAGTTTTTTCTCATTTTGCAGATCTTTAAAAGCATAGTGGTGTAATACTAAACCATAGCAGTTTAATTTTAATTTAATTTTAATCGAGTTGTTGGCTGCATTGATTTTGTCTTGCATGGATCCCCTCCTGATGCACCAACTTTTTTCCCCACAGTCCAAGAGTATACAAGTCAGTGTATACTCTTGGACAGTTGGTGATTCTCAGTGTACTGTATGTGAGTTTTACTCTGCATTGGCCCCCTTCATGGACCCTGTGACGATGAACTGGGTAAATGGAAGAAAATGGATGATTGGACTTTTGACAATAACGTTGCCATCCAGGAACTGCAGGTAGCAAAGCAGCAGTTAAAGACAACACAGAAGTAAATTATTTCCCCTCTTCTTATTTTTCTGTTTGTACATCCTTAATTCCTTTGCTCTCATTTCCTTAATTCTCTCGTGTCCCTCCCATCAGAGATATGAGCAGAGAGATACAGAGTCAGCAGGCACTTGCTTAGTCATTTGTAGCAGTCATTTCAACCAATATCAGTTGAATATGATGTTTGACACAGCTATGTGTGATTTAGTACACGATTTTGTTATAGCAGACTAAAATATTGAATGATTTCAGATATCTGTCAAAATCTGTGGTAGCAGATCATGTGATTTGAAGAGGAGGACCAGGAAGCAGACACCTGTAGACTAAAGTAGTTTTAAACAAAAGCGAGCCATTTATTAAAGGCTGGAAGATGGTACAAGTGGCAGGCGAAACGTGAACCAACACCTCAATAAATAAACTAAACTGGGCAGATTAAACCTAAAACTAAGACACCGGGAAGCCCAAACATGAGACCTGACGAGGAACCATGGACAAACCAACAAAGGGAAACAGACACAATATAAGGATAGGAGAGTAATTAGGGAAAGTGGCAACACATGGTAACATGGCTGGGACAAACAAACCTAACAACACACGCAACATTGTCAAAGTAACACAGGAAACACTAAGAAGCAGACTAATTAACACAACTTGACACAGGAGCTGGTACGAAGGAATGCACATGGGAACTAGACGGACTTGGGAGACAACAGGAGGAAACACAAAGAGGGGGAGCGCAGAAACATTTAAGAGAGACGAGACAGAAACAGAGGGACACAGAAGGAGAGGAAGATATTCATGGTGGGCTTGGGAGAACATACATGAAAGCACAATACAGACAGGGGAGACATAGAATGATAACATAAGGGAGACATGTAAACAGGAAAGAGAGATGAGACACAATGACATGACTAGCACAGAGGACATGACACGAAACAGGGAATGACACAGTGACAAGAAAACATGGATTGGGAATATAATCAAATTAGAAGGAAAAATCACGATTAAATAATAAATAATAAAAAATTACACATTACATCACAAAGAAATCAGAAAAACACCATAAACTCAAAATGCTCAAATAAACCAGAACCATGAAAATATCAGATGCAAATGAAACATTAGATCACTCTTCTTGTTAGTAAATGATTTAATAATTGAGTAAATAATTGCTGATTTACTTTGACTTCCCCATGTGCGACTAGAGCAGGAACATTAGTTGGTTTCATTTAATCAACAGCCCTGATTAATTCAGAATCCTTGAGTCATAGGCTGAGGAGGAGGCGTGGCAACAATTGTTCACTCTTTCTAAAAACATGAGACAGATTTATAATTCTTTTTTGCACCCTCACAAGAAAACACTAAAGACAGATTAATTTTTGTTTAATGTCCTCATGTCCCTTTCTTTTGCTGATTTCACAGATCTTTCAGCTCTTGCACTCACTTACTTGCAAATCTGTTTGATTTAGTGATGTGCAGTAGGACCTCCACAGAGGGAGAGTTCTGCCCTGTAAGTCTGAGTCAAGATTACTGACATATAAAGGAGAGCTACATTGAGTCATATCAACAGAGAGAGATAGAGCTGCCTTTGCTTTACAGGCAGAAGTCTACAGTTTGATTCAGTCTCTTATCTGTTTTTTTCTACTTTGAGAAGAAAATGTTATTTGCTGCATCAGGTGGCGTCATCCTCATACAAGAGACACAACTATAGCTATACATTACAAATAAAGGTAAGGAAAGGGCATTCATGGTCCAGAGGTCTCTCAGCAGAGGATGATTCAGAAATGCACTGAGCAAGGAGTTTGAAACGGACTGTTGCAATTAGCCGAAATGAAAATGTTATAAATGTTACCTTCTCGTGAAGAACAAGAACACATTTAGTCATTTTTCATTTATTATATAAATAAATCCTAATGATATGCCAGCTTCTAATGGTGCTTGACAGTGTAGAACAAACCTGATGACACGAACTCCTAGAAACCTTAAAAATCAAACCAAACACATCCAAACACATTGAGGCCTGTGAGCAAAAAACAAAGCCGACTTAGCCCCAAAACAGCTGTAAATCTGTGTGGTTGTTAGTCACACAGTTATTAGTCAGTATGTTTTAATTTATAAATTGTTTTATTGTAAGCAACTGAAACCGCATGATCTACTTTACAATCACATTTTTTTTGTCTTTTTCAGTCTCAGTATTTTTCTTTCCTTGTTTGTGTGGAGATTCCATTATTCACTGTCTGGTATGATAAGTATCTCTGTTTGGAAATGTGTAGGACTTGGTTGCATCGTTTCACAGAATGGCATTATCAAATGCTGGCCAGCAGGGGTCACTGTGGAGATGGTTTCAGACGTTTCAGTGTTTCACAAAGCCTGGAGTTGACCACCATGAAGCAGTGAAGAGCTTCATTCAGACTCAGTGACACTCAGTGTATTTAAGATCACCCAAACATCGTTTCACGTGTGTTACTTAAGTGTATTTTGGATATTTCAGGGATTCATGTGGGGGAATATTTTGAGCTGGTGCCACCAAAAGTAGTGAAACAAGTTTACTCTTAGTAATATACTTACAGGTCTCTATCATTCATGGGGTGACTTTTTTACTGACTGTTAATAAATACGATATTATGTGGGAAATAAATAAATGTGGGATTAAAATGATAATTAAACTGATAATATCAATTTCCATATAAACACATTGCAACTTCCTCATTGCATTATGTAAAAATCATCTTCCCTTTAGAGTATATAATGAACAATCAACAATGTTTCACAGTGTTTTATTTTTTTATAGTTATTCTATAGATGGAATTAGTGAGGCAGATTTTTTAATATGAGATAAAAGCAATAAACATGTGTAACATGAAGTCAGACTGCCAGGACATTTATGTAATTCTCGCAATCATTTTATAATATAGGTGCATCACAATATAGGTGCAAGGCTTAAGTTGGCTGTACATCAACCACTGTTGCCTGCAGATGTCACCCATGAGTGTAATTAATGAAGGTTAATGAACCAGTTTTTGACACAGTGGTTCAAAGAGGTTCAGAGCTTCATGAAACCTCTGTTTGCCATCACTAGGCGCAAGAACCTAAACCAAATTCCAAAAAGGGGGTGTGTCACGGAGGAGCGCCACACCACAACTGCACTCTGAGGGCTTTTATAGATCACTGGCACAATGGCAGCAGGGATTGCCAGTTCCACTGATGGGAACATGTTACACCAGTTCTCCGAGCCTGTAAACTAGATTTGCCACACCAACAGGCTGGCAAATCTAGTTTGTAGGCAAAAACATAAAATGCAAGACTTGACTAATAAGCTAAATAACAAGAGCCACTGGAGAGTAACATAATATATAAAAAATACTAACAACCTAAAGGTCCAAAGGACATGATGAATAAAACCAAAACATTAATTATTCAAAAAAGTTATGAGCCCCAGAATCTCAAAACAAGTGCCAGGTACTGTGATATTTATTAGCAGCATGGAGAAGTGTTACTTCTGCTGGTGGGTGGAAATCCCACAGTGGAATTATTATTATCATCATGTCTAAAAGTAACTGTAACTGGAATGAAATTTTTTTGTAAGAAGGGAAACGATCTACCAAACATCAATAAATGATCCATCCTCCAGCAATTGCCAGTCTGACACTTCAGGTTTCCTGTAATCTGTTGGGTGCAGTTACTTTCTTTGTCGTTCCTTAAAAACTCTACATGGGTAACTTCAGTCCAGGACAATTTAACTTTTAGGACCCTGAATGAGGGATAAGCAGAATGTGCAGAAATGTCTACAAATGAGCTGCACTTATTTCATTTTTCAGCTTAACAAATCATTTTGAAGGTCAGATGTAGTTAAATTATACGCATAAACATGTTTAATATGATTCAAATAAATCAGAATTTACCTTTTAGACTTGGTAAAAGATACAGTTTAGTTTTATGGTACTGTATACACTACCAGTCAGAGGTCAGGTGTACTAGACTGACTTTTACACAACACAACTGATGGTCCCAGCTCCAGGAGGCAAGAAAATTCACAAATGAACCCTGACAAGGTACACATGTGAAGTGATAACCATTTCAGGTGACTACATCATGAAACTTATTGAGAGAAAGTCCAGGGTTTTCAGTGCTGTCAACAAAGCAAAGACTGGCTATTGTCAGGAATCTAAAATATAAAACGTGTTTAGAGTTATTTATCAAGTTTTTCTTTGCTACAAAATTCCATATATCTTGCTTCATATATTTCATGTCTTCAGTTTGCAGAAAGTAGTAAAAATAAAGAAAAACCATTAAAGGTTTGTCCAAACCTTTGACTGTCATGTCAACAGTCACTAGAGCAGGGGTAGACAACTCCAGGCCTCGAGGGCTGGTGTCCTGCAGGTTTTAGATGTGTTCTTGATGCGACACAGCTGATTTAAATGGCTAAATTATGCACTTAACATATCGTGAAGTTCTCCAGAGGCTGGTAATGATTCAGCATCACTTGATTCAGGTGTGTTGACCCAGGGTGACATCTAAAACCTGCAGGCTCAGGTAGAACAGAAAAACACTACAACCAGTCCATTGACCAGTGAGTTGAACCCAATTCTGCTCAATATTACTTTGATCTCTTTTTAAGCTTCATGGTGCGATCCTCCACAACAGTCGTAGTTTCTCATGTTGCCCTTTGGAAACATTTATTACCCATAATATTACTAAACTATTTCCTATAAGTTTATTTAAATTACAGAGTTGGTGCCAGACTAGTGGTTCTTTAATCCCAAGGGCAACTGCCAGGAGACTCAACACCTTTGTAGATCATCGTGGCAGTGACAGGAAGAGATACATTGGTCATGTGTCAACAGAAGCAGTGCCAGATATATGATGCATTTAATCCAACCCGTTGCTGACCCCGCTGCTGTTGAGTCCATCAAAACTGTATTATGCTTTCTATTAAGGACTTGATTGTGCAATACAGTTCAACAGAGCTCCAAACCTCTGCATGTTTTCTGTTTAAGAGGAAATGTTGAGCTGGAGCCAGTCTGCTCTGTGAAACCGTCAGAGGGATGTTAGCTATCCCGATAGCTGGCCGATGGGTGTTCTGGGTGGTTTCTCACTGTCTCTGTGTCTTCCTTTGGCTTTTATCGCTCTAAAGAAATAAGAGGAGTAAATGTTCATTGATCTTGGCCGGTGGTCAGCCTGGTTCTAGCAGGGGGTAGGAGGAGCAGTGATGTGAAGGCTGCTGCTGCTGCTGTAAGTTTTTGCTTCTTTCAATTTGTTTATTGTTTTATTAATGAGAACACCACATACAAAGTTATTTCTGTGACACATAAATGTAAATATTTGATCATATTTGATCATAAATGAAAGCAATGAATAAAGGTTATTACGTGACATTTACTTAATTAGAAGAAAAACACAAACAATCATTTAATAAACATGATATACCTAGATTTTTTTTAATAAATGTGTTAAATGCAGACTCAGGTGAAGGTGAACACAAACTGTAGTTGTTTTCTTTCCTTATTGTAAACTATAATTAATTTTTTTTATATATATTATATTTGTATTTTCTTTACACCAGAAGAAAATTAGCTGAAATTCCAGTAGTCTCATTGGACGCAAAATGACTCTTTGAGTCCTTTTTTTACATCCTCTTTTGTGAAACAACACCAAATTGGAGGAATATCAGCAGCTTCTGTATTATACTGTTTGGCAAAGTCTCTGTTGTACTTCGCCATCACATATTTCCAGTAGTCTGATGCCTTAAAGCTCTCATCTGGAGGGATTTTCCAGTCTGGGTAAATTTCCTTGTATCTCTTGTAAGGGTGCCATTCATAATTTGTATCACTGCA